TAAATTAAATGGGGTTACAAAGCAACCCGAGGAGGGTGAAGGTGGAATAGTCGGAAGCCCCATCAAAGGTTCGTTACCCTCCAAAGGTGGTCCTCCTCAAAGGATAGTTCCTTCACTATGGTTTATGGTAGGTTTTTGTCTAAAGTTTTCATGGTCTTTATAAACAAACAACATACATCAACATACCATCGAAAAAAAAAAACACATAGCTTTGGAATATCCACCATGAAACCAGAAGAATTTTCGGGAAACCCCATGAAATCATCATTTTTGTGGGGTAAATCACCATTTTTCATAGGTAAGTCCCATTGAATTTCCGGGAACCCCCTGGATTTCCATAGGTTTTTGGTCTGTTTCCTCTTCAGGGTCTAGCTGCTAGGCCTCACCGTCTCGCCGCGGCGACCGAGGAAGACCACCATGCCACAAGTCGTGAGAACATCGGATGGTTTGCCGCGCGGATGTCGTGGTTGGAACGGTTTCGGAATGGAATGCTTTCACTAAACTCATAGTGGATGGCTTGTAGCCATACAGATTGTTGATGATATTTGATGATATTTGATGATATTTGATGATATTTTATTGTTCTTAGTTCGGATTAGATGGATTGAAGAACATGCTTGAAGATACATGCCAGTAAAAGTGAAGCTTTGAGCAGGGAGACACCACGAAACACTTCGATGGCGATCAGCATCCCACAGGACGAGGCCCATTGGAGATAGGTCAGTTGGTCTATCGCTGGGCGTACCAGGGTTTACGGTGGATATATCATGAGATATCCATAACATAATATAACATAACATAACATAACATAGTTGTATGGGTTGCTAAACAAAAGTACTGGGGGCGTCCTTCTAGCACTTTAACTTTGGACTATGTTTTTTGGGAGGTATCCTTGAGGTTTTGTCGCCAAGGATGCCACAGCTGACGCGACAGATGTGGTTCAGTCGCTTGGAGTGGAATCGGGGAAGGTGCTGGGGTTCTGGGGGTACCCTCCGGTAAACTAACAGTTTGCTATCGAAAATCCTCGTTCATAATTGGTAAATCAACTATAAATGGGCAATTTTCAATAGCTATGTTAGATTGCCAGAGGGTGAAATATGTTGAAATATGTTGAAGTCAGTTAGGTGAAAAAACACTGCTATGATAGTAAATTGATGGAAGGCCCCCCAAGTATGTGTGCTTGTTGACACCCCCAAATCTAGCTATAGATTTGCTCACCACTAGTTACCCTCTGGTAAACGTTTACATAACTATGGAAAATCACCATGCTATTAATGGGTAAATCAACTATTTCGACTGGGCCATGTCACCATCATTAATCACCATTAATCACCATTAATCACCATGAAGTTGCAATGTTCAATAGCTTTTTTGTATGTTTACCAGGCCGGGTACCCTGGTTATAAACCAACAGAAACCGCATGGGTCGTGCTCAGAATCAATGGGACCCTGGGACCCTTTTTGGTTGCCACCACCGAACTAAAGTTGGTTGAGTTCACTCCAATAACTGTGGTTTATTGATGTTTAGTGTACTTATAATTAACTATAAGTACTTATTATGTTTGTTGTATTTATATGTATTTATTGTGTTAATGACTATGGTTTATTGTACTTATGACTACTGTATAGTAAATGGGATTAATAAACGAACTCACAACTGGGGGAGGCACATTGCAGGGTAAGATTTGTTTAGGGTTCACTTGGATGTGCATCCCACTTAGGATCCATCGTTTATAGCCCCATCGTTTATAGCCCATATAACAACTGGGAATATCATATATATATACAAATGGGGTATAATAAAGAATATGGTAAAATAATGTAGACCTAACTATAGATAACTATAGCTGTTGGTGAACATAACTCCAATAACTATGGTTTATAGATGTTTATAGGTGATATATCTATAGTATCTATAGTTTTAATGGGGTTTATAAACCAACTAATCATAGAATTGGATGATGGGAAAATTTACAGGAAAGCCCTATATGTGATGGTAAAAACCATGGTTTCCTGTAGATTTTCCCTTAAACCAATCCATTGAACTAACATAGATATCAACTTAGACATGGAACTGCGCCCTTTAGATCTCGGCAACTCGTTCACCCATGGTGCTCCCGATTATATAGGAATGGTGCTCCGCATTACACCTGTGGCGGGTGGCCTGAAAGCTGCACAGTATGCAGCAATGAGAGAAATGACGCCCAGCTGAAACGAGGTGGTCCTAGAGGGGGGATTCAGTAATAGTATGATTTAGGATTTTATGGGTGATTTAATGCGATTGAATTGCGGTTGGTGATTGAATGGTGGTTTAATGAGATTGATTTAGGATTTAAATGGGATTCAATGAGCAAAGTTGGTGAACAAAACTCCAATGTCACTAGGGGTTATGGTAGACATATCTACACTTAATGATTTAGGATTTAAATGGGATTCAATGAGCAAAGTTGGGGAACAAAACTCCAATTTCACTAGGGGTTATGGTAGACATATCTACACTTAAGGGTAGATATAAACCAACAAACACAAGTGGGGGTGGGCACCACCCTGCGATCGTTTTTTTTTTTTCATAAGGTTGTAGAATGACTAGGGATGAAGATGTGCAAACCTCAGGGCTTATGACGCTGTTGGTAAAATGCGAACGTGAATGATGGTTTCAAAAGCTAAGTAAGAAATCATAAACCAACAACACTTGACTGTGAATTGTACCACAACCATCACGCATTTAGTAATGAATTAAAGGACCGGATAACCCCACAAGACAACTTCTTCCAATAATGAGCGCATAGTGCTGTAGCGGGGCCAGGGAAGGAAGGAAAGACAAAGGAGGCGGTGGAGGATCGAGAAGTAAAACAAAGTTGTGTGTGACAAACTGGCATGTGAAATATGGTGTATGATGAAGAAAGATGGTGTGTGTGTGTTTGAAAGATGGTGTGTGTGAAAGTTGTGTGTGAAAGATGGTGTGTGACAAAGTGGTGTGTGACAAAGATGGTGTGGCGAAAGATGGTGTGTGACAAAGTGGTGTGTGAAAAACGGTGTGCTGAAAGATGGTGTGTGAAAGATGGTGTGGTGAAAGATGGTGTGTGACAAAGTGGTGTGTGACAAAGTGGTGTGTGAAAAATGGTGTGCTGAAAGATGGTGTGTGGAAGATGGTGTGTGAAAGATGGTGTGTCAAAGATGGTGTGTTACAAAGATGGTGTGTAAAAGAGGGTGTGTGAAAGATGGTGTGTGACAAAGTGGGGTGTGAAAGATGGTGTGTGTGACAAAGTTGTGTGTGAAAGATGGTGTGTCAAAGATGGTGGGTAACAAAGTGAGTGAGGCGCCTGCCACGCAAAACGAGCGTGGATGTGAGATTGTGCCACGCCTGCCACATGATATCAAGGTGAATGTCACCAAGTGCCACGTGATATCAAGGTGAATGTCACCAAGTGCCATGCCTGCCACGTGAAACGAAGGTGGATGTCACCAAGTGCCACGCCTGTCACGCAAAGTGGCGCGGCGCCCCTGGCGACAAATCCGGACCAAGCGCGCCACACAGTACCGTGAGTGCCACGCCTGCCACGCAAAACGACGGTGGATGTGAGTTTGTGCCACGCCTGCCACGTGAAACGAAGGTGGATGTCACCAAGTGCCACGCCTGCCACGCAAAGTGCCGCGGCGTCACAGGCGACAAATCCCGACCAAGCGCGCCACCCAGTACCATGAGTGCCACGCCTGCCACGCAAAACGACGGTGGATGCGAGTTTGTGCCACGCCTGCCACGTGAAACGAAGGTGGATGTCACCAAGTGCCACGCCTGCCACGCAAAGTGCCGCGGCGTCACAGGCGACAAATCCGGACCAAGCGCGCCACCCAGTACCATGAGTGCCACGCCTGCCACGCAAGACGACGGTGGATGCGAGTTTTGTGCCACGCCTGTCACGTGAAAGGAGGGTGGATGTCACCAAGTGCCACGCCTGCCACGCAAAGTGCCGCGGCGTCACAGGCGACAAATCCGGACCAAGCGCGCCACCCAGTACCATGAGTGCCACGCCTGCCACGCAAAACGACGGAGGATGCGAGTTAGTTGCCACGCCTGCCACGCAAAGTGGCGCGGCGCCCTGCGACAAATCCGGACCCAAGCGCGCCACCGTACCTGAGCCCGCCTGCCACGCAAAACGACGGTGGATGTGAGTTAGTGCCCACGCCTGCCACGTGAAACGAAGGTGGATGTCACCAAGTGTCACGCCTGCCACGCAAAGTGCCGCGGCGTCACAGGCGACAAATCCGGACCAAGCGCGCCACCCAGTACCATGAGTGCCACGCCTGCCACGCAAAACGACGGTGGATGCGAGTTTGTGCCACGCCTGCCACGTGAAACGAAGGTGGATGTCACCAAGTGCCACGCCTGCCACGCAAAGTGGCGCGGCGCCCCTGGCGACAAATCCGGACCAAGCGCGCCACACAGCACCATGAGTGCCACGCCCGCCACGCAAAACGACGGCACATGTGAGTTTAAGTTTGTGTGTGTGAAGTTATTGTCTGTTAAGTTTGTGTGTGTTAAGTTTGTGTGTGTGAAATTATTGTATGTTAAGTTTGTGTGTGTTTTGTTACGGAGGCGGCGGGAGGAGGAGGAGAAGCCCGGGATACAGAATCAAAAACAAGAACCCCACACAAAGATGTGGGGAAAAACATGGGTAAAATCGTCACTTTTTTTTGTTATCCTGTCCGGTAAATGTCCAACTCGTTGGCCAGACAGCGATGTTTTACTGGCATATCATCCAGTAATCAAACATGGCCTGTTTTTTCAGACCCTAAGGGTTTCGATGATTTTCCCAGAAACTTCCATGTCGGATGTCCCATGATTTTCCCATGTTTTTTTCCATGAAAAAAACGTCATTTTTGATGGGTTTCTCGGCCAGCTACATGTCAGCTATGTTTGATAGCGGTTATGGCGAAACTATGGATGCATCCATCGACACGGCCTAAGGAAACTCTCGTTGGATCACGTACCTGGGCTGATCTATGGGCCGATGGACCCCTTAAGACAGAGTCGCAACTGGTAAACTATTGGGACTATGGGAGAAAACAGGGATAGTGGATTATCATGGAATATAATGGGGATTATGGACTTTTATGGGGTTTGAAATTTGTGTGGTTACGGGACGTCGGGGATTCTGGCCGGTTTAATATTTGTTTAATGGTGATTTCATTGGATATATCGGAGATATTATGAGATTGGGATATTGATGATTATTTAGCTACACGCTTAGATCATTTTGGGGTTAGATAGATGTACCACGCATTGACACAACCCCCAAATGTTACTCTTTATCAAGGTAGAAACAAGCCACCAAGCTGCATGAACAAACCACATTGAGAAAATAGACATTTATAAACATATTATATAAACATACATAAACATATATTATATAAACATCAACAAAACTCACGATGTCATCCCTTTGTGCTGGCTGGTTTTGTCAGTTCCGATTGCATGGGTCAGTCCATAATCGTCACTACATCAGGCAGCATTCCGCCCTATGCTACGCATTTCCTGTTGCCAAAAACCACGACGTTCGTATCGTTTTTTTTAATGAACAACTTGGTGTTTCGTTTAGTTTGCTAGAGGTAAAAACAGACAGAGCCGAAACAACAAAAATTACAGCAAGAAATTTGGATTTGCGGGTATGTGCTAATGTTTGCGAGATATTTGCAGGCGCTTTGCGGGTAACTCTTGGCGAGCTCATATTGTCAGCCCAAAACCAGCAGAATTCCAACACTGTGACAAAAACACCAAAATTCATCGAACTTCATGAAAACGTGTCGTTCTTCGCGAGTATATGGCGTTTACAGCTTTTGCGGGCTAAATAGTGCAACCAACAAAACTACAAGAACATTCTGGTTGTTAGAGGGTTCAGGTTATGAGAACCTATCATCGAGGGGATTGCCTTTTGGTAATCTAAAACGGCGAAGAAAACCATGTCTAGTAGGTGGGTCATATACAAATGGACCATGTTCCAACCAGAGGGTAGTGCTCATGTTGACACTTCCTAGATTTTGATGGGACCGATCCAGCCTTCTTGAAGTTAGCAGGTCTGGGATTTACTGAGTTGCCATTGGGACGATTTTTTTCAGTTTGGGCAATCAAAAAAAAGGAAGTTTGGCTCCCAGCAGCTTTGGCTCAATCCTCATATGGTTAATTTATGTTCATTTCATAGTTAACTTCCATGTTTTCGTCTTAATCCCTACTTTTCGTGGTAAGAACCCACCATTTTCTCCGAAGAGAATCCACAGTTTTTCTGCAGGATGGTGCCCCCCCAGTTGTGTTTGTTGGTTTATAAACCATATTTGCATCCATTAACTATATTAGTTATATCTACCATAAACCATAGAATTCAGCCACTTCTAAGGCAACTTATCACTGGATTGGTGGGAAAATCACCGGAAACCATGGTTTTTCATGTTTTTTCGTCATGAAATATCAGGTTTTCCATGGTTTTCCTGCAACATTTCCCCTGAAACCAATCCATTCATAGCTATCCAACGGTCCATCGGAGCTTCCTTTCAGGTAATGCATCCAGCCGCATCCTCCATGGTGTCCTTCGGTGTGTTGGGCACGGGCTTTCAGTGCCATGGCCGCACTCGTTAGGTCCTGGGGACGATGACTCGGCTGAGCGGCTGGGAATATGGGAAGTTCATATTCTGGTTGGTGGTTTGGAACATTTTTTATTTTCCATAATATATGGGATAATCCTTCCCATTGCCTAATATTTTTCAGATGGGTTGAAACCACCAACCAGTATTTGTTTCATCAACTATAGTTACAATCAGCTAATTATGTTTAATATTTGGAATCTATATTCTCAATGGGAATTTCACCATCAAACATCTGAGTTATGCAACATACCCTCTGGTAAACATACAAAAACGATGGAACATCACAATTTTATAGCTGGGTAAATCAACTATAGGCCATATCAATGGGAATAAAACAGGATCCAATTGATGGAGGTACGTAAACGTACCATATGGTTGACCATATTTTGTAGGGATATTCCCTGAAAATTAGGCCTAAATAGTAGGCCTTTTATATGGTAGGTACCTCCAATTTAGGTTCCTGAAATGGCCATTGATAAGCGGCTGGGAAGATGTCAACTATGGTTACATGGGAAAATCAACTGTAATCAAGGAGGTCCTAGGTGAACCAACTGGATAGGTATGTCAATCCTTTAATCTGTTGCAATTTCAATAGGAATACATACTTTCGCCAGCTAGAAAAAGGGCAGGGATCAACCCTTGGATGGATACCAAATAGTACTTCAACCTCTTGCTGTAACTGGGGATACGAAACGGACCAAAAAAACAACTGCAATTCTTAAGATTGGCAATCTAAGATTGGCAATATTATGATATGTTATGATTAAGTTTAACATCACCGCGGTGTCGCTGGAATGATGGGAGTTGTTGGGACAACTATACCGAAGAGCCTCATTTCAGAATTGTGATTATAGTTTATGCAGAAATATGTCTGGTTTAAATGTCTATTGGTTAATGAATATCCTACAAAAAGCCCCCCCCCCCAGTCTGTTTGTTTATTTATCACTCCATCCAACTATACAGACACTCCATGTGGTAAACCGAAATAACACCTACCATTTGGGATGGTGTTTATGGTAATGTTGGGGTTGTTTTTTTTTCCGCAATATTGTAATTAGCCAAGATCTATCCCAAATATCCCAAAAAATCATACCAGATACATCCAGATACCCAACCCTGATTTTCCGGGCTGGGTTGCTGAAACCTAAAATTTGCATCAGTAGCAACGGTTGTGGAATTAGACCATCGTTTTGCATGCGGACAACATCTGCAATATCCCAGTGGACATTCTCCAACTTTGTAGTGATCAATGTTTGTTGTTCAAGTTAATTTCTGCTAATTTAATGTAGCTATGGAAATCATCATGTTCAACGGGTATATTTTTTTCAATAATTAGGTAGAATTTTAATCACCATTAATATTTAAAAACATGTGCCATCTCCCATGGATCTCTTAAATAACCAGAGGGATCCCATGCTATCCTCATATCCCTTGAATTCCACGAAAACATCCCCGGGGTATTTCTACTAAGTTAAGCTACGAAACAAAAAAAACGCCAGAAAGAGCTTCAGTCATTTCAGTTGCTGGATTGGATTGGTGGGAAAATCTGAACCGGAAACCATGGTTTTTCCCTTATGACATATAGGGCTTTGCTGTAAATTTGATTGGTTGAATGGAACATTTACAGGACCTCTATATTTCATAAGGGAAAAGCCATGGTTTCCGGTTCAGATTTTCCCACCAATCGCTGCTGATGAGGTCGGTGATCTATAACACTCTGATCTCGGAGATGTACAAGGTCTACACTGGCAAGGTGCCCATGACAAAACTGCACTACATTGCACTACTGCATGGGATAGTAATGGGATATTCCAACGGCAATGGGATGATATTAATACCCTCTGGTAAACTAACATAACTATGGAAAATCACCATTTTTCATGGGAAAATCCACTATAAATGGTCATTTTCAATAGCTATGTTAAATTACCAGAGGGTATATAAAACTACTGTTTTGGATATGATTTGTTAATGGGATAGTAATGGGATATTTAACCGCCCTCGGCGTGTTCCGCCGGCCACCATGGAAAAGCCGCAAACAGCGTTTGCACAAGCCATTAAGAACATGGTTTTTGTGTAAAACATGGTGTTTGTATTAAAAAAACACGGTTTCTGTGTAAAACAGCGCTTTGTGTAAAAGACGGCTTTGGCGCGAATATATTTTTACTTGGGAACGGATTGTTGTGATTTGACAGATGTGATCTCACAATTGTTGGAGACTGACTGCATATATTGGCAATGATGCCACGCATGTCCAAATGCCGTGAAACAATTATTATTTGTCCTTACTTGAGATGGTCTTAACTTTAAGGTTGTGTTTTTCCTCACCAGGGATACAAACGTTCTCGGATGTTTCAAGCACCAGCATTTCATAAGAAATGGATGTCATCTACCCTCTGGTTATGTCAAAATAGCAGTTGAAAATGGCCCATAGAAATAGTGGATTTACCTAGTAAAAATGGTGATTTACCTATTAAAAATGGTTAGATCCTTATTATGTTCAGATTACCCTCTGGTAATTTGTTATATAGCTATTGAAAATGGTCCATTTATATCCATTTATAGTAGATTTACCCATTAAAAATGGTGATTTTCCATAGTTATGTGGGTTTATAAATGGCTTAACTATGGTTTATGGTAGATATATATATATATATAACTATGGTATTCATGGGGTTTATAAACCAACTTATAACTGGGGGGGCCCATCCTGTAGGATTCCCGTCCCGTCGGTGGGTTTGAAAAAACCAACTCGCCAGGCCAAAAAGGCAGTTTCTCTCCGAGAGCTTGCCAAAGGACCGGAGCAAAATCTCGGTGAACCAACTGGATGGTTAGTAATGGTTACCCTCTGGTGAACTAACATAGCAATGGAAAGATCCACCATTTTTCATGGGAAAATCCACTATTTCTATAGCCATTTTCCATTGCTATGTTAAATTACCAGAGGGTAGTGGTTAATGGTTCATGGCTATTAATAATGGTTAATGGTTCATAGTAATGGTTGATGGTTAGTAAGTGTTAATGACTAATGGTTAACCAACTGGATGGCTACAAACTAATCCTGAATAGCTTTTGGGTATACGTTCACCAGCTAAATGTTGTTTTTTTGGTAGAGTATCATAAGATTAGAAATGAACAAATCACCACTAATTATCATGAATTGTCATTAATCACCATTATCAACCATTGTTAACCCTTATTAACCATGGAAAACACCATTAAATCACTCAAACTGGATAATTAATATTAGTGGTAAGAATAGCTATTACCATTAATAGTATTCATATTCACCAGAAATCACCAAGTTGCTGGATGATGTCTAGGCCACTTCACCTTATTAACTTGCTGGATGAGTAAAAATCACCCCTGATTTCCTGGCGAAAGCTTGTGGTTCAACCCACGGATCGGACGGATCGGAACTGCCTGGCAAAGCCTGGTGATCCTAAGTCAAGTGGCTTCAAAACATGTTGAAAAACCACAAATCACCATTCCATAGGAAAACCATGGGAAAACCATTGGAAAATGGGGATGTCATGGGGATTAAGCCTGATCTGGTTGGTGGTTTGGAACTTTTTTTTATGTTTCCATATATTGAGAATCATCATCCCAACTGACGAACTCATATTTTTCAGAGGGTTCAAACCACCAAGCAGAAGTTATTTTCCATAATATATGGGATTTCATCCTTCCCATTGACGAACTCATATTTTTCAAGATGGTTACGGTTATTGCACCACCAACCAGTATACCACATGTAAGTGGCTGAACCAACTAAAAAAAAAACATGATTTCCATATATTGGGAAAAATAATCCCAACTGACGAAGTCTCATTTTTCAGAGGGGTAGGTTCAAACCACCAACCAGAAGTGGCTGAACCAAGCAGTGATTCCCTGGGCTGATCCTCTAAGTATAGCTGCCCCTCAATCGTTGGGGACTTGACTGGATAAACCATGAACCCTGCTTACGTGGCTCATTCCACAAATCCTAGGTTATATCCCTGCTTGATCCTTTTTTTTTTTGAATTATCATTAGGTGGGGTTGGTTGGGTTAATCCGCTTGCAGCGGGGGTTCCGCGGAACTGACGAACAGAAGCCACCCACGATTGGGAATGGGGGGTAATCATCCCAACTGACGAACTCCATCATTTTTCAGAGGGGTAGGTCAACCACCAACCAGGTAACACCTCAAAATCATGAAATCAATGGTCTTATGGACCTTTTATGAAGTTTTGATACCGGCTATTGCACGTACTTTCCCAGTCATCTCGAGGGTTCCACCAGGAGTTCAGCCGGGTTTAGTGTGGTGCTTTGGGCGTGAGAGCGTGGCAATGGGATTGGGACTGTCTCTCGGCCGCACCAGGTCCCACGGTGATGACTGGATCATCCCATGGATCGCTGATCGATGAATTCTGGATAACAGCTTTGTCGGCCAATTTGATGAAGGAAGTGTCATTTTTTCTCGGATCAATCATTTTTTTTGGATCATCCCGCTGTGTAAGTGCCATGTAATCCATGTATAGCCAGTTCATCCATTTATTTTCGCTGGCTTCGAAGCCACGAAATGGAGACTTCAACTCACACCAGGGTAATCAAAGGTGGCCCTCAGTTGAAATGCCCATGGGGATCACAGCGAGTGAAAACAATCCCAGTGTCTGGGATTTCAAGCCAACGTATGAAAGTATGATTTTTTACATCTAAGAACCATAGATGTCCCAAATTCCCATTGGTTGGTTGATTAATAGAGGAGTTTGTTTACCCCTTTAACAACAGGTGACAGGCAAATGATGATGGTATACCAAACCGGCCCCTCTATTTTTACCACATCATTGCTAAGAACAACGCTGTAACACTCAAAAAAACATGTGATCATTTTTTTTGAAAACAACAAAATACACCAAACTGACATACGAAATTGCCTACTGTATATATACATTAAATCCCTATGAGTTTTTCCATTCTTGTTATAGTATGTCATAGTTAAACCACCATAAAGTCACCATAAATCAGCTATAAATCCGAAAAACCACCATTTTTCTATGGTTTTCCTATGGTTTTTCCTATGTCTAAATCCCAATCTAAATCACCATGAAAATCATGGATTCATCACCCTTAAATCACCATTTTCCTATGGTTTTCCTATGGTTTTTCTCCACAAAGACAGCCTTGCGCCGCGCCGAGTTCTTCGCGTCTCGCGCTAGGTATTTGGGTCCAGTCGTCAAGACCCGCTTGGCCGCTGCTGTGCAGGATGAGACTGGGAAACCCTGCAACTCGGCAGGAGATTTTGATGGAAAATTGCGGAAATGACCCTGGAAATCGCCATTTTTGATGGGGACCCTCTGAGAAACATACAAAAACCATGGAAAATCATGGAAAATCATGGAAAATCAGGATTTTTAATGAGCTAAATCCATTATAAATCGCAATTTTTGATGGGTAAATCAACTATAAATCGCCATTTTTGATGGGTAAATCCACTATCAATCACCATTTTCTATAGCTATAATGGGATATGAGTATAGGAATTGACCCGGCCTGGTAAACATACAAAAAACTATGGACAAATCACCATTTTCTAAACTGGGGTTACCCTCTGGTAATGACTAACATAGCTATTGAACATGGCCCTTAGAAATACTGTAGTTGATTTACCTATTAAAGATGGTGATTTTCCATAGCGAACTGTTAGTTTACCAGAAGGTAATTAGTGGAGTTTCATGATGGCTGGTGGATGGTGGCGAAATCCTGCACCACCAAACGGATGGTTGAAACCCTATAATGTTCCCTCTAGGAAATCCTGTTTGGGAACATGTTTTATTCCTTAAAGGGTGTCCTTAAGTGAATAGAAAGTATACAATTCGGGGATTTTCCAGCCAGCCATGTTTGATGACACCGGAGGGTATACGAAGGTGAACGTACAATGTGGGGCCCCGCCAGTTTTAGGAATATCTACCATAAACCCCGGTGATTGTAGTTAATTATAATTTATACAATCTGGGTAAATTATAACGACCCCACTGTTCTCCCTCACTGGAATGATGGTTAGTAAGGGAAATCATCCCAATATAGCCCTTATTTCAGGTTTGTGAATTAATTTAATTTACCAAGATTTATGGAATGCAGTGGGGTTTGATGGGATTAGACTGAGATTCAATGGGATCTAATGCGATTATCATTGGATTTCATGAGAAAACGTCGGGAAATTTCTATAAATAGACTTTTTTAACAGGAAAATCAACAATAACTGGTTGGTGGTTTGGAACATGAATTTTATTTTCCATAATATATGGGATGTCATCCTTCCCATTGACGAATTCCATCATTTTTCAAGATGGTTATTGCACCACCAAGCAGATCATATTTATCTAACATAACTATGGAAAATTACCATGTTCAATGGGAAAATCCACTATTTCTATGGTCATTTCCACTATTTCTATGGTGGTTTTTGTTGAGTCACTTGGCAAATGCAATCATCTTGGATTCGCTGAATCGATGATTTTTTGATATTACGGATCCTGTACAGGATGGGGATAGCGTTCAGTTGGTTTATACATGGCTGAATTCTATGGTTTATGGTAGATATAACTATAGATAACTATGGTATTCATGGGGTTTAGAAACCATTTGTTTTGTAATATGTTTTTTTATATATTTGGAGGGGTGGTCCTTCAAGCAAATCCAAGATCAGTGGGTTACTAATATTTAATTAACTGGTGGGTTTATAGTGGGTTGGTGGCAAAGGGTTAGTTATGATTACAATGTGGGCCCCCCTAGTTTTCAATTGGTTTATAAACCGTTTATAAACCCCATGAATACTAGTTCGATATATCACCTATAAACCATAGTGAAATTGGAGTTATAAACCAACTGAACGCTATCGTTATAAGTTGGTTTATAGCCCCATCTAACTATGGTTATAACTACCATAAACCCTTGTTATGTTAGTTATAAACCAACTGAACGCTGTCTTGGGGGCCCCACCTTATAGGGATATAAATGGAATGTTTATGCGGATATGATGTGTTTGGCTGATTTGCACCCCCTAACTATGGCACCCTATGGCCATGATCAAACAAGTACCCTCTGCTTATGTCAAAATAGCTATGGAAAATTGCCCATTTATTTCGTTGATTTACCTATTCAGAATGGTGAAAAATGGTGATCTTCTATAGTTATGCAAACGTTTACCAGAGGGTATTTGATGATATTCTTTTGTCGCTGGTCCTTTTAGTCCTTTTTCCCTCTGGTCGATCTGGTTGTTTTGGGCATCTTTCTTCAACAACCAATAGAATCAAAGATTGCAATGGAAATCTTCACTTTTGATAGGGAACTCATCATGTTAATCATCTACTTCTATGGACCATTTTCCTATGTCAAAATGTCAAATTAAACCAGATGGTAAAATGGTTTAACATGATTCAATTTGCTATAACTCCCAAAACTGACGAATCATGTCTACAAGGTGGTGCTAAGTGGGTTGTTTGCGAAGTTGCTTTGTAGCTAGGAACTCTCGTTGATGGGGTTTATCAACCAACTTCGAACTGCGGTTGACATTATGGGGGTCCAAATCATCCAGTCGTTAGGCCATGTTGGTATATGTCCTATGGGACTACACGGTGGTGCCCCCCTAGTTAGAAAAATTGGTTTAGATATACACCTAGTTAACTAGTTCGATATATCACCTATATAAACCATAGTTGTTATTGGAGTTGTGTTCACCAACTGAACCCTATCTTGGGGGCACCTTGTATTATATTCCCTACAATCGGATTTCCTTTTACAAGGGTCCAGACCCTTGTCCCCACATAGTCATCATCCAGGCATTGCCGGCGTACACCTCCCAGAGGTGAGATGAGAGCCAGAGCGCCGTCTCAGTTCGATGGGTGGTGAGTTTACCATCAAAAATTCGGGGTTTTAACGAGAAGGTAAGCTGGTAATGGCTACTTCAGTACAACTTAATCCGTCGCCACATATTGGGTGATAATGAACATATATAATGTACATATATATATATATATATTTTTGTTTTACTTTATACACTAAAAGAGCGCTTATAAAAGAAAAATATGACAGGATATCTAAGATGGGCTTTGTTCTGAAGTTGGTCATGGAACTCGGAACATGGGGCCATCAAGATTACCTGGGTGTTGAAATTGAAAAATTGTCGTTTTCTGGCTTCAATGTTAAGATTTCGGGTGGTAACTTATCAAAATCAATGGAATTCCCATACTATCCAGGGTGATGTTTCATTGTCCAATCCCCGATTTGTGCTACTTAAATCTTAATGTTTATTTCAAATTCTATCCATTAAAACGGTAACAACCTCCGCAATTGATAGATTTTGGTAAATCCAACATTGTAAGTACTGTGACGATGCCTGCATCGTTGGCAGGGGTTGCCCCTGCCACAAATTGCAGAATCCCTGTTAATATCCAGATGTTTCATGGTTAAACCCCCATTTAAATCAACAAATTGATTTACTTGGGCCAATGAATATCCCGATGTTTGATGGTAAAATCATTTTAACTTCCCATAGAAAATATCCAGATCCTCAACGGTTCTGTCATCCCTTTTTTTCGGATCAAACACATCCCCGTCGCGACCATCGCCACCGCAGACGGTTCTTCACTCCGTTGCCAGGGAGTGCTACGCTTCAGCGCCGGTTTTGCTTCAGGCGCCTGCACGGCCTTTGCCACGCAGTGGATGCACAACGTGTCCCTCTTCGCAGGCGCCAAAAAAAAGGGAGGGCCGGGGAGGTGCCCGTGAAGATCTAGCGGAACCCGGAGGCCTATATATCCTATACCTATTATATATATAGGATATATAGGATATATAGGATATATATATTTATATATATATATATCCTATATATAGACCCCTCAAGTACCTCAAAAAGGTGGCAATATGTGGCGCAATGTGCCGATTTTGGGACCCTCCAAGTACGGAAAAAGAAGCAACTTATAGATTCGACCATCAATAGGCTATCAATTGTTATGGGTACTGATAGAGGGTTTAGGTATACGGGTTGGTGGTTTCAAACATGAATTTTATTTTCCATTTCATATATGGGATTTCATCCTTCCCATTGAATAATATTTTTAAAGATGGTTATTGCACCACCAACCATATTTTCATAGAATTGGATGATGGGAAAATTTACAGGAAAGCCCTATATTTGATGGTAAAAACCATGGTTTCCGGTTGAGATTTTTCTCAACAAACCATATTACTGTACTTCATTTTTTGTACTTTGGAGTGCGGTCAACTACTGCGACTTGATTAACGGTTGGAAAAAACGAGGTTACTGGCATCGCACTTACTGATGCGTAGTTACGTTGCAATAGTTAAGTAAATCTGCATGGTATCAATGGATTGGTTTAAGGGAACATTTACAGGAAATCCCAATGATCTTAATGGGAATATCTATGGTTTCCGGTTAATATTTTCCCCAACCAACCAATCCATTGATGGTAAATTGTCACTATAGAGGCTTATGAATCTTCCGGGGTTGACAAGGTGGTTAGTGTTTGTGGCTTATGTAAGTGGGTTGTAACTTACAACCCCTCAACTGACGACGGCTTCGCCTCGACATCTTTTTGTGGAGGATCTTGTGGAACAAATCCTAGGACTTTCCTCTGGAATGTAGTTTCAAGGTTACAAGGTGGTGCCCCCTAGATAGCTAAGTTGGTTTATAACTGCAATAACTATGGTTTATAGGTGATATATCTATAGTTAATGGGGTTTATAAACCAATTTATAACTAGGGGGGCACCACCTTGTAGGCTTCAAGGATGCAAAGCAAATCATGTCAGCTATTTACGTTGGATCTCAGGAACTGGATACGTGGATACTTGGAGGATCATCCCACTTGCTGGGTGTAAGTGCTTCCTATCGGACCTATCGGTTAGAAAGTCCCCATGGGCTGTGGGATGATGATTCGATGATCCTCCAGGAAGTAACTCCTTGGAGGTTTCTAGCTGGGAGATATATACTTTTATTTGCTGAGTCAAGTAGTAAAAAGCAAATCCTCTGGGAAATCCAGTGCTGGGGAAATCCTGTTTGGGAACATGTTTTATTCTTTAAAGGGGTTCCTTAAGTAAATAGACAGTATACAGAAAACTCCGGAGATTTTCCGCAAGCCATGTTTGACTACCGGAGGGCATACGAAGGTGAACGTACTACCATCTGGTTATTTAACGCATTTCGCCATGGAAAATCACCATGCTATTAATAGGTAAACCATCTATTTCTATGGGCCATTTCCCATGGCTATGTTAGTCATAACCAGAGGGTAACCCCAGTTACAAAGCCGTTTTTGAAGTGGGATGCTCCATTGCAGTGCTGGGGCTGGGAGGGATTCTTCCCATTTCACCACTGAGCCAGTGGACCAGGGATACCCTCTGGTAAACTAACAGTTTGCTATTGAACATGGCCTATTTATAGTTGATTTACCTATTAAACCAGTGATTTTCAATAGTTGAGTTAATGGCTATTTACCCATTACCCAATCTTTATAGTTGATAATTAATGATAATTAGTGATTTTCCATAGTTATGTAAACGTTTACTGGAGGGTAAATTGTCATAAAACCATGACGACCTCACTGCGAGGTCACTACAATGATGGTTAATAAGGGAAATCTATCCACGATAGCCTGAACTCAGGTGAGTGGATTATGTGAATATTTATCCAAGTCAAAATATATTTATCATAATATATCATAATTACTTAAATCCAATATATTTGACATTGTATACATGTGAGTTATCCGGTCCATTAATACATTTTCCTTGGATATCAATAGTCCTCATCACCACTGATAATCCATAGTTAATTTCTCCGTAAAATATGGCTTTAAGTTCTACAATGTCATCCCGTGTCGGACAGGCCGCTTGGCTGCCCACGGCGCGGAGGAGGGAGCGCCCTATTACACCCGCGCTGCATGGCACACGGCTTACAAGGAGAGCGCTGAAGGTTGCAGGTTCGAGAGGTTCGAAGGTTGTTTTTATGGTTGACATTCCTGGGATTGTGATGGATTTATGGTATATACATATTGCATATATATTTCTAAAAAAACTGTGGGCATATGTTTTTGCATGCATAATATACGTATACATATATATATATATATACACAGAATATACCTATATATATATATATATGGGCCCACAGTGTGTGTGTCTTTCTCGATTGCCAGATGGGTTGTAAACCTTCTTGGCACAGTTGGTGGAAGCAACCTAGGCTAATATGAGCTTGTCTGAGCTTGTGGTGAGAGAATGTTTGAAGGATGAACATAAACTATTACACAGGTATACACACATTACCCTCCAGTAAATTAACAGTTCGACCCTGCCAGATGGGGGTTGGAAGATGAGTTTCCACTAAAACATGATCGATGTTCAGGGTCTATACAATGTGGGGCCCCCAAGATAGCTAAGTTGGTTTATAACTAGAATAACTAGGGTTTATGGTACTTATAACCATAGTTAGATGGGGCTATAAACCAACTTATAACTAGGGGTCCCCACATTGTAGGGTTTATGTTAATTTACCAGGGGGTAAAAAGGCTGAATTTCCTGGTCCCAGGTGGAACATAGCCTTACCGAATCTCATCCCTATGGTCTCCGTGAAAAATTTCCTGCTGGTGTCTGAAGGGCCGGGCGTCCCACAGGAGTTGGGCCCTGCAGTGTTCTACATGAATTATCCACATCGCATCTTGATTCGATGGTCGGTGCTGGGTTTTGCTGTGTGTGTTGTTTCGTTTTTTTTTTGTATAATCTGGTTGGTGGTTTCAAACATGAATTTTATTTTCCATAATATATGGGATGATCCTTCCCGTTGACTCATTGACTAATATTTTTCAAGATGATCATTGCACCACCAACCAGTGATATGTTGTTATGGCAAACAAAGAGAGGAATACAACATATTCTCCAGCTGAAACATGTTTTTTTTGGCTGGGTGGATTGACGGATTGACCGCAGGTGTCTTGTTGGAAGTTTGTAAACGGCCCAGCAAGTGGAAAACCTAGCTGCATCAATATGTCATATCCCATTAAAAAAAAAAAAAACAATTTGTTTTAGAAGTGTCGGAGCTGAGGGTAGTTTTTTTTTTGTTTGTTTGGACAGACTCAAAACCCAGTTACTTGATGCATTGGAATCTTGTGGCGGCTTGATAACAATAACACTTGGTGATTTTCGATTGAGTTCATGGCAAACTAACAAGATGCCCATAACAAAACCTCATTGAAACAAATTAGTTGTTTGATAGATTAGTTGTTTCACAATTTCATTCATGACTCAGCTGTTTAATATCAGCAATTAAGTAGATGAAATGTTTTCGCTGAACTCCCCCCCCCAAAAAAAAAATATCCAGCTGTTGGTTTATCCATCAATCTTACCTGGTATTCCGTCATTTTGGGATTCCTCTGGATGTAGGCAATTCCAGTGATGTTTGATAATGTCAACCCTGGATAAACCATGCTTAACTAATGATCAATCAATTAATGCTTAATTAGATACCAGGTTTGATAGCTCTTAATTTATCCAGGGTTGACATTATCAAATTAATGTATCCAATCAACATTGTTAAACCAGATAATGCTTAATTAGCGAGCTACTCCCCAAAATAGTGATACAGTAATTGATACTTAATGATACCACCCGCAATAAACCGGCCTCAGCGCCTAATCCTGGGTAATAACTGCAGAGATATCCAGCATACATGCCAGCAAGTTTGCCTAGTTAGTTCAAGCCACTCAAACCTATCCAAACTTGGGTCCTTTGTACCATCCTACAGCCAAGGTTTATGATAGGTTTATGATAGACACACATGGAATATGCGCAGAAAGTGGTGCCCCATAACTGGCCAAGTTGTTTGAAATAACTCCAAATTTCACTTGCGTTTATGGTCGATATATCATGATATATCGAGCTACTTCAGGTGGGTTAGTTAGTTATAGACAAAAAAACCAACTGCAATTGCAGCACCTTGCAACTATCTATGGCTTAGGAATGCCACCTTTCCAGAGATCCCTTGAGTTTCAATCTCAAGGCTTAGCTGCTTGGGACTTGGGGCCCTTGGGGCCCCAAGGGGGCTGCGAGGTATGTGCCTCATTGCTGGGGCCGTGGCGCTGTTGACCTATGTGGATATCTTCCATCGCCCTGAGCTGCGAATGCTCTAATTCGAGAACAGGTGAGCCTCCAGTGATGGCTATGTTGGTTTAGTTTCAAGGCCATGAAAATACCATAGTTATGGTATATCCCCCAAAAAAACAAATAGTTGCCATAGTTAAGCAGGTCATGTGCGTCAACTTGGATAACTTAGCGATTTCGCTTACCGGGGGTCTCACCTGGTAGAAAACAAGTCCCCGAAACTTAGGGTATCTGGAGCGCATGGCCGCCGAGAGGGTTTAAGCAACAGAGAGGATGTCAAAGAGCTGAAAAGGTTGAAAACGTGTGTCTTCTAAAGACTTTGGACCCAAACTATTCATGCCATTCAGCCGATGGTTTGCACCCCATTCATCCACCTATCTCAAGGACCGGTGTTGCCCCAAACCTCAAGGAAACCGGAGGTTGGCCCCGTGGAGCTCAAAGTGGGGCTGGATCCGGGCGCCGGCCTCCGTCAATCCGCAGCAACGTAA